ACCAGCAGAGCGTCCAGCGCGTCCACAGGACAGGTGCCTGCCCCCCATGCTCCCCGAGACGAGAGCTCCCAAACCGCCCTCGGCCGGTGAGCGCCGCCCCGTGTTTACCGTGTTCCCCTCCAGCATCCAAGTCTGTCCGGCTGTTCTGCATGGTCCCGGCAGGTTGCTCACCGCTGTCTCTGCCTTAATTGCTGTGCTTCCCAACTACCTGTGCCTTTTCAAGTGTGTGCAGGAGTTCCCATGTTTCTTGTGGAAGGAGGAACTGTACCTTAATCACATCAAAAACAAAAATAGACATGAGTACAGCCTGTTCTGCACGGTGCCGACTCTCAGATGCGCTCAGCTACTGTCATTCCCCCCAAATGCAGGGGAGGCATGTTGAACGCTCGGCCCTGCTCCTTTAATTTCCTGTTCATAACTTGATTAAAAAGACTCCCTACCCATCTCCTCTCCTCCCCTACGACCCAGAAAGTCTCATCCAGACACTCCCTAAGCCCTCCTCTGCTCTTCACACCGGGTTTTTATCAGCTCTCGGTGTGGGGAAGTTACAGCCCTGCAGCCGGTTCATGGGAGCATCGCTTTGGGAACGTTCCCTGGGAACCTCGGCTCAAGCTGTTGGTGAAATATTCCTGCATGTGCGTCAGCTCTGAATTTGATGATTGGTGAGGACACGTCATACCTTGAGTGTCACCTGACACATGAGCCAAACGAAGCTGCTGAATCTTGCGAACTTTTTGAAGTTCAATTGCAGGAGTCGGCAGTGAGGTCAGGGGCTCTGCGTGGACGCTCCCTCTGCCTCATGTGGCGGGTCCAAGGTGTGCTTCTTTTTGTATGATTTGCACCGTTTGTCCCGGGGGGTCCCCTCCTGCCCGTGCTGCCCTAGTCCAGTCTCCCAACCTCTCTTAGGGCGATGAATCCCAGGCTAATCCCCTTTCCACAATAACGGTCCCCCTTCCTCTGTCTGGGGTGGTGACATTATTTTCTTTCTGGGATGAATGTTCCCTGGCGTTCCCTGCATTTTCCCGAGATGTGGCTTGAAGGCAGGGGGGCAGCCTCATGGGCTCTCCAGGAGGACAGGAGCCTTGGGCCCCAGGAGGAGGCAGGTGGGCGGGCACACAGGGGGTGCCCGGGAGCCCAGTCAGACCTAGGTTGAAAAATTAGCTTTCTTGAACCATGTTTCGATTTTTATTTATTTCCTTTCTTGACATTAATTACCTTTCAGATACTTTATTTGCTAACTCATATTGTTTTTAATTTTCTTTGAATTACTGAGATGTAGTTTTAATTCTGTTTAGTGTTTTAGCATGATGAAACTGTAAATATGCTATACATTTAACAGGTTATCTGGCATTGTAAGTTTTGGTACAAAATTTTTTAATGTAATATATATATTGAAATATTGTATATTTGTTATCCAGTAGATCATATTATAAATTAACTCATGATTTACATTTCTATAAGATACATATGTTGAAAAAAAATATTAGTGTCATATCTCATTTTAGTTAATAAAGTCAGTTTCATTTACTGTAGTAATGAGTATAGTTTAATGTGTCAGCATGTATTTTGTGCAGTTGTATTAGTTACTTTTTTCATTGTAATTTATCATTTTATAATTATTCTCTAATATATGTAGATTTTTAAGCATCATTTTTTGTTTATACAAAGAATACTTGTAACATACTAAATTCTGTGTGTAGTGTGGGTGTGTATGTGTGCTATTGGTCCATACACGGGTTATGAGGGTGTGTGTGCATATTATGTGTGTGCATGTGGGATGAACACTTTAATATAGCTCTTCCTGATGAGGATTGCTGGAGTGTGTTCCAAACAGTAAAGGAGTCTGATTTTTATCATTAAGACTAATTCATAAATTAATCTGTTATTCATTCTGCTCTACAGAAATCAGTTATTTGCCAAGGAAAGGTGGCTTTATTTAGGAGGCCAGCCACAGGAGCGGATGGGGATCAGCCCCCCAGGAACACCTATGCAGCACTGTTCGGAGGGAGAACGTTTGGAAGGGGAACTTCATGGAACAGGAGGGGCGACAGGCAGAACTGACAGTTAATCAGTGTCTGCACCAGCCTGAGGGCAGATTGCTGGCGTCTAGGAAACTGTGCTTCAAATCTGCCACTTCTCTGGTTTCCAGGCATCCTGGGTGGATTCCTGAAACTCAGAGAGGCCTGGCTAATGTTTTATAAGACAGCAGAAGAGAGCACGGAAGAGGTTTGATCTCTTAGCTCGTTTCAAAATGTAGAGTTAGGGCCTCTAACACAGAACGCTGAAGATACACTGTCCGAAATTTCAAGTGCCCAATACACTATTATTGACTAATTACCGTGCTATACATTAGATCTCCAGAATTTATTCATCCTCCATAAGTAACCTTTTCACCGTTTGACCCACTTGTCTCCGTTTCCCCCACCCACAGCCAGTGGCACCCAACACTCTAATCTTTACCTTTATGGTGAAAGTAAAATTTTATAGATGCCACATACATGTGATTTCATACAGCATGAGCTTATTTCACTGAGCATGTCCCATTCATCCTCCTTGTCACAAATGAAAGGGTTTCCTTGTTTTCAAGGCTGGAATATGTACAGTTGCATTTTCTTTATTCATTTGATGGAGAGCAGAATACATGCTCCCCAAACATGCTACTGTGCACATGCATTGTTTTGAGCTGAAGGCAGTTAGGACCCAGAAAAGATGTTTTTAAGAACTTGCCTTAGGGGCAAGGGCAGATGCCCCCTATTGTGCCACTTTGGCATATTGATTCCTTTGGATTAAATTAGCTACTAGAGAAAAAGCAGGTGCAGAAAGGACACTCTGACCCTCCTCTGTCCCCCTGAAACCGGGAAGTAAATCTCCCACAGGAAATATACCCTCCCGGTACCTGGAGGGTAGAAGGATCCCGATCTCCAGAGACAGGGAATTCAGAGCTGAGAGGTCTGCATAAACATATCTTTGTGGAGAACTTGCCCCAGGCTGGGGATGCAGAGGTACACCTAATCACACCAAAATTCAGTGAGAATATTGAGGAATGAGAATTCTCATATATTACAAATAGGAGTGTAAAAAGTGCAGTAATTTTAGGTAATTTTTTTGGCATAAAGTCAACATTTCCTTACCTAAAAGAAGCAAAACTTCTTACCCAAAATATGTCCCTCTGGCAAAAGATTATTTTTGGCTGGTTATTTTTAAGAAATAACAAATATACATTGCATAATGTGGGTAAAGTTGCAAATGTTTCCAGAATCTCTTGCCTGGCCTTAGGGCATCTCCATATCAATAGGTATTTCCAAGGGGAGGAGAGAAGTACACACCATCTCCATATCAATAGATAATTGAGACCAGGGCAAGCAAGGGCATATCTGGACTGGAGAGGATGGGTGGGGTACCTTCTTCTGCTGCCAGGTAGCCAGAGACATGAGCGAGCAGAAGTGGGCGACTGCTTGTAGGCAATAAATGGGTTTCTCCCACTTTATTTCTCCCTTTCACTGATTTCGGTTCAAAGATATTTTGCCCTGGGATTTCACCTCCCTGGAGTTATAGATAAATGCCGAAAACCAAGCAGGAGTTTCCCTTCTGTTAAGAGGAAGTTGTATTTAGAAAGAAAATCAATTATTATGCTTTCTCCCGGTAATATTTCCAGAATATCTCACGTGGCTTTGGTGCATCTGCATATCCTCAGGGGTGGAGAGAAGTTCATCTCCATGTCAGTGGGTAATTACCTGGGCAACTGAGGGCATGTCAACCTTGAGAGGTTAAGGGGAGGGGCTGGCTGGCTTGCTTCTTCGGGAGCAGGGGAGATATCGCTGGACTGCAGTTTGCAAGCAATAAACAGGTTTTAAACTGTATTTTTCCCTTTGACTGATTTTGGTTTTTAGAGGTATTTTGAGAAGAGAAGTTTTAAACCTACCAATAGAATTAAGACAAATGCAAGGGAAAGCCTAGTATGGATATAACTGGCTTATGCGACTTCCGGGAAAGAATGTGAACCCTGCAGTACTCAAGCCAATGAGGGACTCGCATGCTAGGGAATAAATTACTTACGCCAACTGCCTACCCCAGGCGTGCCTGCTTACCAGACACCTCATCTTGCAAGACCTCCATTAAAGCCTCGTTCCGCTGTTCTCTTTGTCTCCGTGTCCATGTATTAAGTATGGACCTGTAAGTGTGTTTCTCACAGGTGGTCTGATTTACACAACGCAAGTCAAGTTTGACTTATCTGCACAATTCAATACCTAATCTCTTGAACCTGTTTCCTGTCCTCGGTAACCCTCCTACTCGGACCCTCCCTGTCGGACTTACACTTCCTCTGTACCTGGAGGAGGGACGGGTCTATACGTCCAGAAACTTAGGAATGGGGACAGCAGGGACATGAATCTGTGTAACAACCCCATTCTTTACCAAGTGCATATCCTGATAAATCTCCCCAAGCCGACCTCATCCCCAGCATCTTTGGTCTTCAGGTGGAGATGGGATTTGAGGGGGGTGTCTCAGGCCATTTCGAGGGGATGGTCAGTTTACCTGGGTCTCACCCACGTTGTAAGAGGTATGTTTGTTAATAAGTTTCTGCTTCACTTTCTTTTGTTAATCTCCCTCTTATAGGAGAGAGGGAGACGACAGGGAAGTCCGAGTAGGAGGGGTACCGAGGACAGGGAACAGAGAGGTTCAAGAGCTTAGGAATCGGTGAGGGTGTCAACACAGGGAAGCAAAGGGTTAAAAGCAAAGGCGGAGAGTCCCGCTGAGACGACACACCTTGGTTGTCTGGGGTGTAACGCCCGGGCGGGCAGTGTCAGCCCCCTAGGGTCACCGCTACAGACCCCTGGCCCCGGACAGTTCCCGTCCCTAACGGACCCGAGCCTCCCCGGTGCCCCGCCCTCCCTTAAACCTCAGGGGGCGGAGCCCCAGGCCGCTTCCGGGGCCGCGGGTGCGCGGGGAGACGCCGGCCCTGCTGCGCGTGCGCCGTGGCCCCTTCCCTAGAGGAGGGCGGGTCCCGCTCCTGCTTCCGGGCGGCGCGGCCGCGGGAGGCGGTAGTCCGGAGCTCGTGGCGGCGTGGCCCTGAGGCCTCTTTTCGGGGCTCCTCCTCCGCGCGCCCGGTGAGCTCGCCTGTCCCCGCGGGTCCCCGCCGGGTGCCGAGCCTGTAACCAGCCCCAGCCCCCTGCGGGGCGGAGCCGGTGCCCGCGGTCGCCGAGCCCCGCGTCCGTCCTGAGACCCGGGCCCTGAGGGCGGCCTGGGCCCCGCGTCAGGGTTCTGCCCGCGGCCGGCGGGGAGCCGGGGGAGGCCCTGCCGCCGCTGTCCGCGCATCTTCTCCGGGGCCGTGAGCCGTGTCCGCACAGCGCCCGGTGGGGGAGGAGCCCGAGCAGCCCGAGGCCGAGGCGGAGATGGCGGCCGCCCAGGTGAGGGTGCGTCCGGCCGGGGCTGGGCGGCGTTTCCCCCTGAGCTGCTCTGCGTTTAGAACCGGCGCTCGGTTCCTTCTCTGCTCTGCCGTCCCGCCTTCCCAGTGTGCTCACCTGCTCTGAAACCTCTTTAAAAATGCAACTCAGGCTTAGCTGTGTAGGGACCGGGGGTCGGCCACCCAAGATGTGCCACTGGGACATGCAGATTATTTTCCGTTGCAAACCATCAGGGCACCAGAAGATGCAGGAAAAATCTTTGACCTCCCATCCTACAATGCGTGAACAGAGTTTAGCTGGAGGCATTACCCCAGGAGGAGAGATGTCATTTTAGATAGCTGTATATAATGTAACCTGGGAGGGAGGTGGGTGAATGTGATGATCAGTGTGCTAGATTATCTGGTTAAAACCTCATTGCTGCCATTTACTGCGTGTTTGGCAAAACAGTTTAATAAGAGAAGAGATTATGCTTCTCTTTACAGATAATTTTATGGCTTTTCTTGCATTAGTTTATGAAAAGCTGTGAGAATGATGGCTAGTAACTAGTAAATGTTCACTAAGGATTATTTCCGTTTTACTGGGATTATATTTAGAATCTGAAATTGCCAGGAAACTGTTTCACAAGGATTCATTCCCTGGAGTTCTACCTCTTAGTTATTCAAAAATGGCCCTGAAGCCCTGGGCTAGGTTTTGATAGAAATGCAGATTCAGAGCCCAGCCCAGAGCTCCTGAATGTGCAGCTGCGTTTTAATAAAATCTCCAATTTCCTGTAGTGAAATTTTAACGTACTTTGGCATGTGAGTAGTATGTTTTGAACTTACCAAAGCTTTCCTTATAAAACATGTACACAAGTTAACCTGTAGGCTGTAAACACATCACTCGAGACTGTGTATACTTGTAATGTGCAATTGATCTTGAGGAAACAGGTTTGTAGTGGTTCTGTGGGTCGTAGGTCATCCCTCAGATGCAGACAGCACCCTCAGGGCGTCTCATGGGATAAAGCTGGACTTTGACCTCAGTCAGAGCCAGTTCTCCCTGACTGTCTTACCACCTTAGTAAACATTATGATCTCTACCGATGGCCACCTGGTCTCCATTACTTCAGGGACTGCTCACCCTAAGGGTGTGGCCGTAGAATTCTCTCTGATGGAGTGGGAATGCCTGGATTTTCTACTCAGCAGAAATTGCTACCAGGGATGATTGCTAAAATTCTTCAAAAAAAAAATAATAGATTTGGAGAACTTTGGTTATCATTCAGTGCTTGTGAATTAAGTTGCACTGGCTCCTCTGACAAGTAGAGCAAATTCTGCCTCCTAGATAAAACCCTTATGCTTTTATTTGTGATTTTCCCTTCCGGACACTGTTCTGTTTCCAGTAATGGTCATGAGTGGGGCGTCAGTATTTGCTTATGTTTACTTTCATGCAGAGTATCTCTGTCTGTTGGTATTGAATTGTGCAGATGAGTCAAACTTGCGTTGTGTAAATCAGCCCACTTGTGAGAAACACTCACCGGTCCAAACTTAATACATGGACACGGAGACATAGAGAACAGCGGAGCGAGGCTTTAATGGAGGTCTTGCAAGATGAGGTGTCCGGTAAGCAGGCACACCTGGGGCAGATAGTTGGCGCAAGTAATTTATTCCCTAGTATGCAAGTCCCTCCCCTGGTTCTTCATTGGCTGAGTACCTTACCGCAGGGTCCACATTCTTTCCTGGACGTCGCCAAAGCCTATTATCCACATTGGGCCTTGTCTTACATTTGTCATTTGTCTTTGTTTCATTGGTAGGTTTAAACTCATACAGGTATAGCCAGGCTCTTGCCAGTACCCCACACCCACCCCCACTCTCAGCCTGAGCAACTTCCTGGCATATATTCCACCACGTGGCCATTAATACCTTACTGTTAAGATGTTTAAACCTCCTGGTGGGAATAAATCACATTTAGGTTTTATGCTTTTTCTAACACACTGAACTTATGTAAAATACTGGTAGCATGTTGTTCCCTCCTACTTGGATCTCAGAAAATCCTGCTCAGGAGGTTTAGGTCTCTTGCTTGTTAAGAGTAGGCCGTGAGTAAGATACAAGCAGCAGGAGGGGAGACTTGGAAGCTAGTATCCTTTCTAGGTAGATTTAATCCAGTCTTTGCCTAAAGGGAAAAGGCAGACACAGCTGAGAAGTCCCCAAGGTGGACATCTCAGCAGATGACACCCAGACTGGTGAGAATGACCTTGGCCCAGTCACGTGCTGCTTAGGATTCCACCGCCACCCCTGTGGGGTTCCTGTCTGCATGGTGAGCCTGAACCTGCTAAGCAGGGCTGGGCCTGGTACCCCCCTGCCACCCCCCCCCCCGGCTGCCTGCACAGCGCACTGTCCCCTTGTTCAGTGACTCTCTCTCCTGTCCTTCCTCGCTTTGAGTCCTTGTCCGAGAGTGGGGGGGGGGGGCGGGAGAAAGACCCCTCCCGGGAACCAACTCATAACTCAGTGTAGGAGCAGCTGAGAAGCCTGAAGGTGAGGAAGCCCCACTTTGCTCGGTCACGTGACTTCTGGAGGTTCTGGGAGGAGCCGTGAGACCCGCCTGCTGCCCTGCCGCCCCTCCGCCCAGCGCTCACTGTGCTGCTCACTTTGTGGCAGGGTTGCCACGGCTGTCCTCACAGGGGTCACTTTCAGGTGTGTCCGCCTGCAGGATCCTGTAGAAAGGGTCACTAACACTCCAAAGGGCCCCCTGGGAGAAGCTCACTTGAAGCTTGTGATGGTTGTTGATTTCCTTGTAATTAGCAACTGAAAAGGCTTTCATAAACTGTCCCCCCCAAGCCCGCGCTCCTTTTAGCTGCTGTAGGGGAAGGGGCGGTGAGGTCACAGGATCCCGAGGCCTGTCTCTGCATTTGCCCTGGGCGCCTGCCCTTCCCAGGAGCTGGGCGTCCCCACAGCATTGAGGAGGGGCTGTTTTGTATTTCTGCTGGAGAGGTGGGGCCTGTGATGAGAGCAGGGCTGTCAGGAGTCTGGGTCAGTGATTGTCTTGGAAAGAAGTGATGCTCCCGGGTGTGAACTCAGTCCACTATCAGAGCCATGCAGGAAAGAGGCATACTTGCAGAGGCATGAGATGAGCTAATAAAAAAGGCAAATGGGTTCCCACACCTCAGACCCATTGAGATGGCTTCTAATGTAATTTCCTGTCATTGACGCTGACAGTTTGGTGTTTAATCAACGTGGTAATGAAACCTGATTTTTAAGGTGCTCAAGAACGACTATACTTGTCATATGAATCTGTTTGTCCAACTACAGGAATCAGAAGCTAAATTTTACGATTCCTAACTTTGTGCTTACAACCCGTTCATGCTTGTGATAAAGAGCAGGATGAATCTATTTGGATCATATCCTTTATAGAATGAGTGCATTTGAGGTACAACTGCCAAACTAGAAAGTTTCCTCCAACTGTGAATTAAGATGCAATTAATAGAGACACTAGTTGTGGTCATGCTTGAAAATACCTGTGGCCTGTAGATTTGGGTCTGTTTTCCCTCCTGAAGTTAGGGAGGGACTGTGTATGGGAAAGGTAACTTTCTGACTGAGTTTCAGACTATAGATGATGGGATTGAATGGATCTTGGATAATATATTTGGTTCAAAAATAGTCTAGTAATCAATTCAGAAACACCTGCAGTTCATAAAATACACAAGATGTCATGCTCTGAAGATACAATATTCTGCATATGTCACTTGTATTTTAATATCTTATAAAACATCACTGCTGTTTTCTCATAATTGGATTCAAATTATGATTGACTTGTTTCTTTTTCATTTTGGCGACAATTTCATAGCAGTGGTGACTGTGGGCATCAGGCAGCTAATTGCAATTTGTGCCATTATGTCAGATGTTCCCATCTGTTCCCTTGGCTCCGAGTCTCGGGGATTTGCTGAGAGATGCTCACAGACTCCCTCACTGAGTCTAGAACCTTCCTGTCCTCAGTTACCTAGGGCATGTGGTTTGCTCTGTACAGTGCAGGGCGTCTCCTGTGCCCCAGAGGCTCTGGGCTGTGCAGGTGGAGGGTTCCGTCAGGCAGCCTGGGCTGTGGGTTTGCCTTTCATTCCCCACTCCCGCCACAGACCTACTGCTCCTTGTTACTTTATGCATTTTCAGAAAGAGAAAACAAGAACCATATGCTTAATATCTGTTTTAAAATTCAAAACATAACTCAGCACCTATGATAAATGTAGCCAAAAAATTTCAAGGAAATGGGAGACTGGAAAACAGTAGCTTTTCAGTTTTTAATGTGTGTGGGTTTCTGTGGTTTATTTAAAGCCAGAAAAAGCATCATGTGTAAATGATTAATGGGTATGCAAATGAAACCACTCCTTATTTTTTGACAAAAAATTTTCAGCTGTATTAGTCTTACCATGTGTATAGTTAAATTTTAATATATGAATGTGTGTGTAAAATGTGAAAGTTACTAGATAGGTGTGTGCTGTACATTTGTTTCCATTACTCAGTTTAGGAAACTGCTATGAGCCTTCTTTCAGGTTTTTCTAGAAAGTTCATCTGTGTTCCTCTAGGTAAATTCAAGGTTAAAGTGGGTTAAAAGCCAGGCTCTACTATTTACTGAAAATTTAAGAAAATGTCATCATAAATGAGGGAAAATGATACTGTTCTCATGGATTATTTTTGTGTATTATGCATGAGTTCATGAAAAGCTGTTAGAATAGTATTTAACATTTAGGAAATGTTCTAAATGGCTTATGGTTGCTATCTTTGATTTAAGAGACTGCATTTGCCATAAAACTTTTAGTTAAAAGCCATCCAATAATATTTCCCCATGGTATATCACTGCTTTGTAATTCAAAAATGTGGCCCTGTGAGGGAGAGTCCTTGGCAATCACTGGTGAGCCTGTTGAAAATGCAGAAACTCAGGACCCAGCCCGGAACACCTGAATCATCTGCACTTTAAATATCCAGAGATCTTCATTGTACTACATACTAAATTTGTTCTACAAATTCGTTGTTCTATCAACTTGATACTTCACCATAACTTTGCCTTTTAGAAACATATACAACAGGTAAACTATAAATTTAGTACTTGAAGAGATGCCAGTACTGATTCCTCAATTACATTTTTAATTTCCCATATAATTCTAGTGTTTATAGTGGTTTTACATCATCCCCTTTGCTCAGCGTCAAGGGAATGTTAGAGAGTATTGTTTGTGTTTAAAATGATGCAGGTCATTCAACCAGGTCCAAACCAGTTCTCTTACCTTTCACTCTTTATTTTGGGTGATATTATGAACCATAACCACACGGGAAACATGTATATTTTTGTTTGTTTTTTTACACATCAGGGACTGTTGACCTTCGGGGACGTGGCTGTCAGGTTCTCCCAGGAGGAGTGGAAATGCCTCGTGCCTGCCCAGCGGGCCTTGTACAGGAGCGTGATGCAGGAGAACTACAGCAACCTGGTCTCTGTGGGTGAGGAAAAGAGCTTCATTCCAGAATTCCTTATCCAAACTTAAAACATTTATTTTGCTACTTTACAGAACGGCTCCCATAAATTTCTGCTTTATATGAAAGTGTCAGATCTCTGAATTCAAGGAAAAAAATTGGGGGATTTGTTGGTGTGGAAGCAATTTTCCTGATGTATTTTGACTTTAGACCTCTCTCTGCAGCGACCTCCATCCTTCAGCCTAGGTTCGTGGTACTTCTCAAGTTCAGGAGCATAAAGTATGTTCACCCCATGTTCAGTCCTGAACTCCACACTGACGGAGAAGCAGCAGGGAAAACTGAGAAAGAACAAGGTCTTATCTGGGGTCTTGGAATTGCCACTTGGGGAGCACAGATGGAGCAGCAACCAGAAAAAGTGTCGCCCTGTGCAGGGAAGCAAGGAATTTGTACGAGAAAGGAATGGGTGGGGGGCCTTTCATGACCTGGATGGAGGAAGACAAGGAGATAAGAGCTACCTACTGCCCCTGAGAGGCTGAGCCGCTTCACTAATGCCTTGTTCACTAACTTACTGGTTCCTCCAAGGGAAACTAGTTGTGTTGTTTTCTCGTAACTGCCCCATCTCTGTAAAGTGCATAGACAACTTGTTATTTTACTTTTATGGTTCCTATTTGGGTCACCCTTGCCCTGTTAGTTTTATGAGCAGTGACTTGTAAAAACTGTTTCTGGTCCAGTTCAAAGGGTTCTGTTGAACATTATGTCCGGAGAAGTTAATTCTTCTTAAACTTGGGAGTTGGTACAGTTTTAATATCCCCCTTTCTCCTTCCTCTCCCCACCCCACAGGCCCTGGAAAATACCAGTCTGCTCTGGTCCTATGTTCTTTTTTATTATTATTATTCCACATTTAAGTAAGATCAATGTGGTATTTGTGTTTCTCTGGCTTACTCTGCTTAGCATAAAGACCAGAAGGTTTATTCATGTGTGTGTAGGCGTCTTTCCTATTTTTTCCATAGGGGCCATAAGAGTTTACAATCCCAGCAGCAATGTGCAGGGGTTGCCTTTCTTCACGTCCACACCAGTGGGTGTTAGTTCTCATCTGTTTGATGACCGTTCTAACAGGCTAGAGGCGCTGTCGCACTGGTGTGAATCTGCATTTCCCTAATGATGGGTGGGTGACGTCCGGAATCTTTTCTTGTACCTGTTGTCCTTCTCTGAATCTTTAGAGACATGTCTATCCAGGTCCTTTGCCTATTTTTTAATTGGATGATTTTTCATTTTGCTGTTGAGTTGTACAGGTTCTTTATGTGTTTCGGATACTGACCCCTTAGCAGAGAGAATGGTTGCAAATAGTTCTTCCCATTCCATAGGTTTTCTTTTGACTTTCTTGCTGTTTTGCTCGGCAGGTGCTTTCTCATGGGACGCAGTCTCTTTCCTTTTGCTTTTGTTGCTTGTGCTTAAGGTGTCATATGCAAAGAATCATCACGAAGACCCATGTCAGGGCATCATTCCTGTTTTTTCTTACAGGAGTTTCATGGTCTCAGGCCTCATGTTTAAGTCTACTCCATTTCAAGTTAATTTCTGTGAACGGAATAAGATAGGGGTGTAGTGTACTTCTTTCACATGGGAATATCCAATTAGCTGTCAGCATTTATTGCAGATGGTCTTGCCTTCATTGAATATTGCTGACACCCTTGTCAAATAGTAGTTGACCCAGTATTGTTCCCTCTATTTCTGGGCTCTGGATTCTAGTTCTCTGGTCTGTTTGTCTGGTTCCCTGCCAATACCGTACTCGTTTGATGACTAGCCTGATGGCATACCTTGAAATGAGAGTGTGGTGCCTCCTAATTAGTTTTTCTTTCTGAGGATTTCTTTTACTATTTCGGGTCTTTTGTGGGTTCATATAAATTTTAGGATTGTCTTTTCTAATTATGTAAATAATATCACTGGAATCTCCAAAGGTATTGCATTGAATATATAGATGGCATTTTGGAAGTCCTGACATTGACGGTATTAATCCTGCCAATCCATGAACATGGGATACTATTCCATTTATTTTTGTCTTTGATTTCTTTCATCAATTGTTAGAGTTTTCAGAAGATTTTTGAGCCCAGGTTAAATTTATTCCTAATTCTTTTATTGCTTTTGATGCTGTCATAAATGGGATCACTTTATTTCCTTTTCAGAGAACTTGTTAGTATATGGAAATGCTATTGATTTTTTTGGAGTTGATTTTATATCCTGCAACTTTTCCAAATTCTTTGATTAGAGCTAGGAGTTATTTGGTTTGTGTTTAGGATTTTCTCTCTAAAATCAAGTCATCTGCAAATAGAGGAAGTTTAACTTCTTTCCTTCTGAATCTGATACCTTTTATTTCTTTTTCCTATAGTAGGACTTCCATTAACTGTGCTCAGAAGGATTGGTAGGAACGGGAGGGCCCCTTTTGTTCCTGATCTTACAGGAAGAGCTTTCACCCTTTTATCATGGAGCATGTTACAGAGAACTTGGCATATATGGCATTTTATGATGAGATAATTCCTTCTAGGTGTAATTTGTTGAGTTTTTATTATCAGTGAATGTTGAATTTTACCAAGTGGTATTTCTGCGTGTATTGAGATGATCATAGTGATCCTTTTTATTTAATTCTTCAATTACTGAGACCTGTCACACTGAGTGACTTGCCCATGTTGAACTATGCTTACATTGCAGGTAAGTCCCGCTATATCATGGTGAATTATCCCCTTAATGAGCTGTTGAATTCAGTTCACCAGTATTCTGTTGAGAATTTTTGCATCCGCATTGATAATTGTCTTTTAAATTCTTTTCTGTAGTGTCCTTTACTGGTTTTGGTGTCAGGGTGATGCTGGCCTAGCAGAATGAATTTGGGAGGGTTGCTTCCACTTGAACTTTCGGAAGAGGAAGGAGGACTGGTGTTTCAAAGTGTGGTAAATTCACCAGTGAAGGCAGCTGTTCCTGAGCTTTCCTTTTTGGGGTGATTTTTGACAACTTATTCAATCTCCTGATGCTAGTATCTGATCAGTTCAGATTTTGTATTTCTTCCAGATTCAGTCTTCGCATTGTATGTAGTGTTTTCTACATTTCTTCTATGTGGTTTGATTCCTTGGTGTGTAGTTGCTCTTTGTAGCCTCTTTTCACCCCTTGCATTTCAGTGGTCTCAGTTCTGAGGCGCCTTTGTCATGTACAATTGTATTGATTTGGTTCTTTCTGTTTTCTTGGTTAATCTACAAAGGGCTACCCAATTTTGCTTAACTTGACAAAGGAGCAGCCCTTCTCTCCATTCTTCCTGTTAAGCACTTCTGTTCTTGATCTTTATCACTTCCTCCTGCTGCTAACTCTGGGCTTCTTTTGTTCTTTTTCTTGTTCTTTCAGGTCGTAGAATCAAATTGTGCATTTGGATCTCTTTGCTATGGGTCGTTATTGTTAGGAATTTCCTCCGGGGAACTGCTCTTGTTGCAGCCTGTATGTTCTGATAGGTAGGTATGTTTAGCTTTTCATCTCAAAAAACTTTGTAACTCCCACTTTTATTTTCTCCGATCCCTTCGTTGTTCTCTTTGTTGTTTGATTTCCATGTGTTGGCAAATATTCCAGTTTTCCTTTTATTTCCAGTTTCATGGTGTTCTAATCAGAGGAGATAATCCATATAAGTACAGTCTTCTCTAATTTGCTTCTCTGATTTGGACTGTGGCCTAATATAAGGTCTATCCCAGAAAATATTCCATGTGCACTTGAAGAATACAGATTCCGCTGTCTTGGGGTAGGACGTTCCGTATGTTTCTCTTACATCTGTTTGCTCTGTGGGGCTGTTCACGTCCACTGGTTTGCTTTATGATTCTCAGGTGATGTATCCCTCTTTGTTAGTAGAGAATTCAAGTCCCAAATACTGTATTTTTAATATTGTAAATCTTACATCTGTTAAATTTTGCTTTATATATTTAGTTCTTGTGTTGGCTGCACATACACAATTGTTGGATTATCTTGATGTATTGACCACTGTATCATTGTGTAATGATGTTCAGTGTGTCTCCTTACCATTTTTGGTTTACAGTGTACTTTTTCTGATCAAAGAAGTTTAGTTATCCCTGTGTTATTTTTTAAAATACCACTTACATTAAATATCTTTTTCCATCCCTTCACTCACTCCATGAGTGCCTTTAAGAACAGTGAATCTCCCGGTGGTGGCATATTCCTCATCTTGTCTTTTTATCCATCAGCCTTTCTCTGCCTTTTTAACTATGAATAACATTCTGTATGAAGTATTGTTGATAGATAAGCCCAAAATATTGCCATTTTATAAGTGTTTTGTGTGCCTTTTGTCCTTGTCTCTTATCCTTCTGCATTTTTTCTGTTCTGACGTCTTTTAGTATCCGTATGCTGTGCCTCCTTGCCCAAAATCTGTGTGTAATTACTATAGCGACTTCCCTCATGGTTACCATGAGGCTTAGGTAAAATATCTTAAATGTATAACACCTAATTTGAAGGTGATAATGACTTAAATTAGATACCATACACAAACTTTCCACTCTTACTTGTCCCCACTCACATTTTCGTTTTTGATGTTTAAGTGTACATCTTTTTTTATATTTTGTATCCAGTAACAAATTGTTATAATTAAAGGTAGTCTTGATTTGTTAAAAGTTTTGCTGTGTAGGTATAAAACACAATCACTATCACAATAGTAGAGAATCTGACTTTGAGTATATATTTACTAGTAGAAGTGAGTTTTGCACACTAATATTTTTACATGCTCATTAGTGTCTTTATTGCCACTTGAAGCATATTCCTTGGCATTTCTAGTAAGGCACATCTAGTGATTAACTCACTCAACTTTTTTTAGTTTTGGAAAGCACTTATCTCACTTTTATTTCTGAGGGACAACTTTACTGTGTATGGTATTCTTAGTTGACAGGTTGTTCTCAGTATTTTGAATATCTTCCTGCTCTCTCCCCTGGCCTTTAAACGTTCTGTTCAGAAAACTGCCATGTATTGGGGATCACTTATATGTGGTGAGTGAG